AGAAAATGAGAGAGAGAGAGAGAGAGAGAGAGTGGTTGGGAAAAGAGGAGAGAGGTGATGACAGAAGAGGACAGGTTTTTGAAGGTGTGGGTTTTGTCAGTTGAGTTCAGTTCAGACTTTCCTCAATGTCTGAAAAGAACACACACTCTCACAAAAAAAAAAGGCTTTTATTTTCAGATTCTTTATTCTTTCAACACAAATATTATTATCCCAAAACAATATTACAAATCTTTCTTCACGTTTTTTTTCTATTATATAATATGATTTGAAACCTACTAAACATATGTATATATATATATATTCTATTGGTTTCTGTATTAGAAACAAAATCATTGGATGAATGGGTCAATTTTTTCAACACATTCTGATTGTTTTGTCTAATCAACCAGAAATCAGATTAGGGAATTCAAAATACTTTTTTTATAAAAAAAAATTAAATAATACAAAATTGTTTAGAGTATATGAGAGAGAAAAGAGGAGAAAAAACTGTAGAGAGCCGCAGAAACAGTGTTGATTGGGAAGAGTAGGAAATTGACAATGCTTTCTATTTTCTATCTTATTTTACTATGTACTTGCTTACCAATTGCCATTATAAAGAAAATAAAGGAAAATGTTAAAATATTTAAAAGATTATCTCACTAAATGTTTTTTGAATAAATTAAAATTAGTGGAATATCATATACATTCTCCAAAATTTAAACGAGACAAGGTTGATTTGAAATAAGTTTAATGTTAAAATTCTTTTATATTCAATTATTTTTTTCTTTTATTGTTCAACTATTTCTCTCATTCTAAAAAAAAGGAAAAGATGAAAATGGTAAAGTATTCAAAAGAAAAATCTCACCAAATGTTTTTGAATAAACTAATTTAGTGGAATATCATATCATTCTCCAAATTTTGATTGAGACAAGGTTGAAATTAGTTTAATATCAAAACTCTATAATATTCAATTATTTTTTATTTTATTGTTCAACTATTTCTCTGATTCTAAAAAAGAAAAAAAGAAAAAAAGGTAAAATAGTGAAAATGTTTTTTGAATAAACTAAAATTAGTGGAATATCATATCATTCTCCAAATTTAAACTAGAGAAGGTTGAAATAAGTTTAAAATGAAAATTCTTTTATATTCAATTATTTTTTTCTTTTATTGTTCAACTATTTATCTAATTCTAAAAAAAAGAAAAAAAATGAAATACTAAAATTAAAATTTTATATGTCATTTTAACTATTTTCAATTCTATTATTTCTTGTTCTCTCTGTTTCCCCTTTGGTCTCCCTGTCGTCATCAGCCGGAGCCATTGAAAGAAAAAGGGGGAAAAAACGAAGAAAACTAAACAACTACAAGCGTTTCTCACTCTCGACGCTCCTTGGAAATCTGAGATCCGCCATTTTTCTCCGCCGAAGAACAATGCCCATCAAATGGTATGCGAAGATTGAGCATACGGTCAGGGGTTTGTGGTAAATCTCGTGTTTTCGTTGGTCCTTAATCCCTTCTCTTTGGTGGTTTTTTTTCTCTAGGGTTTTGCATTGGCAACCCAATCAAGGGTCGACCGTGAGCACCCAGATCCTCAACGAAGTTATGCAGTGCCTCGAGAGCATCAATGGCGTTAGAGAAGGAAGGTGGAAAGCCACTCTCAACTACTACAAACCCATCGTACGAGGTCCTTCATTTCGATTTCTTTTTTTTCACGGTCTCGACTCGATCGTTGATTCGGGTTCATCCCTCGTTCATATCGTCCCTTTTGTGTAGAATTTACCTGGGGATTCTATGGGTTAGCTTTGATTTTCTCTCTGATGTGTTCTAATAGACTGAATTTGTCGGCAGACCAATCGATGCCGAACGATTTCCCGCGTGACTTTCTGGGGATTTCACTCGCAGAGCAGCCGAGTAAATACTATTTCATAATCAAAATGTATAGGATCGTCCTCGAGGCCGATGTTTCGATTCAGATGATAATGGAGAAGTTACAGTCTTACAGATCAAGGGTTGCTCTTTACTTCGAGGTTTTGATGACTGAACTGATCAATGACTTTTATTCGGGCTTTCGATTTCATGATCTCAGAACTTAAGCTTTTTTGGAACAACTCACTGGCAACTGCTGAATCAAACTCGTGATTGATTGTGTTCTTGGTGGGCAATTTGCAGGGTTCTCAGTATCAGTTGGGTGATTTTAGATTGAGAGTGGGGAAAGTTGTGCTGACCCATTCCGAGAACTTGAGAGGAATAGTTATGGAGGTACTTTGTTTCAGACACATCTTGGTTCTCTCTTGTGTTTGAAGAGTTTTACTTGTGTTTTCATGCTGTGTCTGGTAATCATGGGTTCGGGCCATCATCGTGTTCTCGGCTTATAATTGCATACAGAGTCCGAAATCTCGAGTTGTATGGTTTGGACAGGTCTTGTCTGAGAGATTTTAGTCCAAGTCCAAGCAAATGCTCCAAATTTTTTGCTCATTCGACTATGAAGTGGAAAGTTTTTCGTTTCGCGCTCGCTCATGGACAAACAAGCTAAGACCTCGCAGGATACTGTAACAGTTTACGTCTATAGATTTCTTAGATGATTCATACTCATTTCCCAAACCCTTTTGCCATTTTAGACATTGAGCCATGTTACCATGTAGGTTGATGGATGAAGATCGAATTACTGCTAATGTAATAATATACGGGTTGAGATTCTGATAGATCTTAAACGGGTGAATGCAGGTGGAGTATCTTCCGATTTCGTCAATGGAAAAGGCAAGGAAGGTCATGGGCGAGTTCTTGGAGATATGCCGAGAAGCCTTGTCTAAGAGATCGTTGCCGGGCCAGTTCATGTACGTGGAACCAAACTTTGGGGAGTTTGGTCTTTCGGACAACTACTCACCACAACATACGGCCGTTCAATACGCCTTTGTCATGGCTCACATGATCGCCACAGTTCAAGCCGTACAATCTGTGAGAAACTAAACTAAGATCACAAAGGTTTAAGAGCTTTTCGGTTTTTCTTTCCGTCGGTTTAGGGAGAAAAAAAAGCGATGTATTTATCGGGTTTTGGCTCGATTTAGATGATTCTCGGTTTGTTGAAAGAACCAGAAAAACGTAGATGTTTTCGAGCTTAGTTCGGGTTTAGTTCGGATATAGTTAAACCAAATAACATTTCAGCTTGATACTTGTACTGATTACATCAATCCGGTATGAAATGGATTTTAAACCGAATTTAACCGAGTAAAATCTAGTCCGGTTTAAGTCCGGGTAGCCTTTTTCAGACAGAAACTAGCCCCAAAGTGAACTGAAGTAATCGTTGGTTTTACTTGGATAACGGAAAACGGTCCAATGGGCTCAAGAAGGTTTTTAATAAATTAGTAGGAAGAATGGTAAAAAAATGAAGTAAATAACTTTTTGAAGACAGAAAAAAAACATGAACTTCTTAAGAACTAACATTTTCCTTATTTCTATCACATCATTTTTGGCTAATTTCCAAAATTAACAAAAAAAGATATTTATATATTTTTCCCAATTTTCAAAAAAAAAAAATCGGGGAATTATTTTGCCAATCTTTCTAGATCTCATCTAAGATTCGGTGTTCTTGGGCTTTGCAGGTTACATATGAAGCTAGGTTTCTTCTGCCTCCGCCTATAAATACATACACGTCTCTATGTGCGTTTATATATGTATACGATATATATCAAGTATAAGTTTCTATGAAATAACATTATTATTTAATCTAAATTTAAAATACAAAAAAAAATTAAATAAATACAAAAAATTTCATCATATGTTCAATATGCAAATCAATTTGTAACTAAATTTGAATCAAATGAATTCGAAATTGGTTTGATTTTTTTGTCTATAAAAATCAAAAAACAAAATTATTTTTTATTAAACCAAACCGAATTCAGTTTGCAAATTCCACAAAAAAAAAAAAACACATGCCATAATTAATATATTGTAGTAGACATATTTTGATTTTTTTTTTAATATTATTAGCTTTTAAATTATATTATTAGGAAGCAAAATATGTGAAACAGAGTTTTTTGTTTAACAAAACAGTAATCTCAAAAATGTCAAAATTCTTCCACGTATTCTTTACAAATTAAATTTAGGGAAAAGTTAATATAGAAATTATATAATAAAAATATGCACAACACACTGCCCTAATAAGTATAAATACTTCAAAATATTCTTTTGCAGCTTTGCTCTTCTCGGGTTCTGCCTGGCCGCCTTCACGTACAAAGTACCAAACCAAACGAGGTTAGTGTCTCGATTACTCATGTCTTAAACCCTAAACCATCTCCCCTCGTTTCCGATTCATTGGACAATACAGAACCATAAAATCTCATTGGATTAGATTATAGAACTGCCAAAGATTCGATATTTCCTCATGGGTCTGAATCCGATTACAGAAACGAGTTCCTGTCAGGATCAAGTTTCCGCTTTCTCAACTATAACTTGATGAGTGTCTGTCTGTTTGAAGATATATAACGTTTGTAAATTGCGATAGAACTGTGAAAGATGCCATATTTCTTCATGGGTTTGAATCCGATTGAAGAAAGTTGCTGTTAGGATCTGAGTTCTGAAACAACTTGCTTTGGATTTAGAACTTGCAGAATATGTGTCTGTTTTAAGATATATAACACTTTTAATTCTGGTCTGATGGATGGCTAATCCGTTTTCTGGGTTTTTTTTTTGTTTGCTTGAAGGCTTTCGAATTCAATCACAATGGAGCAGAAACCAGCACCACGAAAGGTTTTGTGTTAGACCACTTGTTACCTGTTCATCGTGGCAATCTGATTATGTTTCTGTAATTATTGGTATGCTGATTCAATCCTCGTTTTTGTTCTTCTCCAGATGAAATTTGCTCCTAGAGCTCCTCCAAAACGCGTGCCAAAGCCGGAAGTTAAAAGGTAATCACATCATTCATCAAACTACTATACGAAAACATCATGTCCTTGTACCCTTTTGTTTGCGGTTTCGAATTTGGTTTATCGTGTGTGTTTTTTGGACTGAATTCTGCAGTGAACCAGTTGAGACTGATAATAATTCCCAAGCTGCTGACTTGCTTAGGAGAATCAATGTAAGTTTTGTCATTGGCTCAAATCTTTTCCCTCTTTTTTTTGTCTCCTTATCCCCCAAATTTTCCAGGAAAGTTCATGTGGTTCCTTTCTGTGCTTATCATTTTCTTTTTGCTGGATAGGAAGGTGCATTGCGTAGGCCAAAAACCGAGAAGAAAGGTAGTGTCTTTACCCTGTAACGACAAGCTCAGGATCTCAGTTTATCGGCAGACCTCTTTGTATCTTTTGAAGTGTTTATCTAGTTCAGATTTGTCCTTCCAATGAATTGGCTTTTTTTATCAGACATAGTGTAGTCAGCAGGATGGCTAGTGATTAAGTTTTGAAAATCCTGAGTATCTTAAACCCATTTTTATATGAATCGTTCAGTCCCTGCTTCCCAAATTGCTTGGATGGGTGGAGTGGTAAATTCGACGAGATCTCACGGGTACCCGAATGGTGATGGCAGCAGCAGAGGTATGATCTCGTCCTCATGATCTGTAAAACATGTGAAACTAATGTCAAAACTTCATAACAAACTCGGTTGAAATCGTTTTCCGTTGGGTCTGTTCTAAAGTACAATATGCTCCAGTCCACGCATATGATATGATCGTATATACATACATACATGCCATGGTTTTCTGTGCAGCTGGTGTTTATGGCTCGGGTTCTACGCAGGAGATAGAGTACGAAGAACCATGGGTTAGTCCAAATTGTAGCCTGTACCAAGAATCCAAGATCTAATACTCTGAAATCTCGTGTCACTGGTCACTTATGCTCAGTTCTTGGATTTATTTCTTCATAGGATTATGACAGTTATTATCCAGTTACTCTTCCAATCAGACCGCCTTACTCGGGAAATCCAGGTTTATTTCCGCCTTCATCTGAACTTAGAGGAAGATTTTGGATTAAGTTTCGGTTTACAATGATAGCTTATGTTTGAAATCCTCATTTTGTTCACAGAGACTCTCGACGAGGAGGAATTTGCGCCGGCTTCACAAGCTGCAACCCACCATGAAAATTCAATCAATGCAGCAGCCGAGCTCGGTTTGATGGCTCGTGACGAGACAGTAGAGGAACCGAAAATGCTCTTTATGCAATTGCCGACCGCCCCTATGTTCAAACAACTGTCGACATCAGAACAGAATGAAAACAAGCCGGATATGGAAGCAGGCGCCAAGGAAAAAGCATGTGGTCTGAAAGAGTTGCCGAAAGGATTCATGGGTAAAATGATCGTGTATAAAAGCGGCGCTGTCAAGTTGAAACTCGGGGACGTGCTCTACGATGTAAGTGAAACTAACATAGAAAATGAATGAAGAATTCAAGTTAAATTATATTGCATAATATTTCTCATTCTTTCTCTATGTGTCGTGGACCGTGATGATGCAGGTAAACCCGGGCTTGAAATGCGAGTTTGCACAGGATGTTATGGCCATCAATTCAGCAGAAAAGCAGTGTTGCCTAATCGAGAAGGTGCACAAGCATGCGGTTTTGACACCGGATATAGACTATATGTTGAATAACCTCGATGGTATATGATATATGTTTTCCGGTACCCATAAATTGATTATTTCTCAGAGAAAACGAAGATTTTGATATGATCATTTTTTTTGCAACCAAGAAAATAAGGAAAGCAAGGATTCGTTGCTTTTTTTTTTACGATCCTGTCACGATCTTGCGTAATATGATCTGAGCTCCATGCTGTGGTTGGAGTGTCATGACAGTGTAAGGAGAGTGCGAGTAAGCCGGGGAGAGATCAAACGAGAAGTTCTGCAGGATCAGAACAAGGGCTATCTTAGCTTCAAGCATGGCGAAATTCTGGCCTATGCAGGTTCTTGGACCCGAGCCGAAAGGGAAGAACGGAGGGATATCTCTGGAGGATGATGACGCCCTCGAGATTCCTTCTGCAAATCTCTCGGGTTTAAACTCTTCTGCATCTTCTCCCCATAGATCATGATCATGGTGAATCAGCAGAGTCGGTAGTGTCAGATCCGTCCCTGCAGGAATCACGAGTTGTTCCCCGATCCTTGTCTCGTGGTAAGCGTGTTGGTACTGAGCAATCACTGGTGGGTATAGCCTTAGAACCTCTTGCAGTATCATGGTCAACTGCAGGAACAAGTCAAGAACAATTCCAAATTAGTAAGATTGAAAACAGATGCAGAATCAGAATCACCGGCAGGAAGAGTGATCGTAAAACCCACGTTCTTGAGGCGGTTTATAGCTTCGAAATCAATCTCCTTGTTGCTGCAAAAACCCCGGATTTCCTCCCGGGCCTTCTCTTGCCAGTCCGGGTGCATAGAGAGCACGATCATCGCCCATGTCAACAAGCTTGCAGTTGTCTCTTGGCCTGCAAGGTAGAATTGTTTGCATTCCTCAATGATTTCATCCATTGTCATGCTTCTGCTCTCAGCTTGGCCGCCATTGCTCTGCAACATCAGCCCCAACAAATCATCAACTCTTGCTGTCTCCTTATCCTTCATTTCATTCTCCTTCTTTTGCTCTATACTTCTCAATATCGACCCGATTTCTTTGTTCAGCTCCTTTCTTCTCCGGTTTTTCCTCGTTGGAATGAACCTATGGACATCGGAAATCGTTAAACAGTTTATACAGTCTGCATATATGGAAGAAGATATGGCGGCTGAATCACCTGAAACCGGGAATCTGTAGTGACTGCATCACTTCGAGAACGAGTCCTATGAGCTCGTTTTGAAGTTCAAACACCTTCTTTCCTTCTTCGTAGCTACTTCCGAACGCTGCACGGGAAATAATGTCTGCAGCCAGTTTCTGAAACTCGGGCCAAACGTCTAATTCGTAACTCTCTTCGAGTCCAAACTTGTTCTTCCATTCTTCTATCATCCTCCTGCAACTGCTCGCGAAGATGGGAACCATCTCCTGCATTTTTCGAAAAAACTACGTTAAGACAAGACAAAACCATCGTCTGAATCATCGATCAAGAAAACTCTATGAAACATTAACTAAGAATCTTAACAGATGAGAGAAAGATTTTAAAAAACACCTTGAGCTTCTCCAAGTGAAACGCAGGATTGAGAATCCGTCTGTGTATAGACCAGACATCACCTTTAAGAGTAGTAAGTCCTCTTGTAAGGACAAGAATCTCGGAACTCAATGCCGGTTTCGAGAAATGTCCATTCCTGTTGGCCAATACTTCCTTCATCATCTTCGGATCTTGCACGATCAGCCTCGGCGTCTTCCCGCTCCAGAAAAACGATACTTTCCCTGCATTCATCACATCCATTCAACGTCAAGAACAATATAATACACACCCAAATTTGGATAGTTCAACCGGTGAAACATAACATGTCTGTATCGTTACGAGTTCGAATCTCAAGTTTGAAAAGTAGGCCTATAGTCCAAATTACATGACCCATCTAGTCCCGAGATTAGTCTAGAATTTGGTCCAAAATATTCGTTTATAAAAAAAAAAAGCAATACAAAACACGCTTTAAAAAAAAAAACCCTAACCGGCTTTTCAACTTACAGTTCTTCAAATCCCAAACCGGGTTTTGAACCGTACCGTGTTTCTGTACGGTGGAGAGGGTAAACGGGTCGACCCGTTGGACGATCCGGTGATGGAGACCGAGCGGTTTGGACCATGACTCAGTGATCAACGCAATATACTCCTTCATGTCTCCAAGAAGAAGCTTATAATCAGTTCCATGGATTCCTTGTCGGATCAGGCGCCTACTTAACAATCTGGGTTTCCACCAAATCGAATAGAGAATCCTTCCACAGCCATAGAGAAGCAGAATCAGCAGAAACGAAAGAGGCAGATGATGTAGAAGAACAGATACTTCCATAATAAATCAATTTCTCTTTTGAGCTTTAAGCATTTGATGGTTCCTGCAGTTGTATACTACATGTGTGTATGTGTATATATATGTGTGTGTGTGTGTATGGGATCTGTCTGAGCCTTGTTCGTGTTCTGCAAGAAATTTGGACGGAAAATATTGCGGAAAGTTTCTTCCTTTTTCTCAGTCTCCATCGTTTTTGCTTGTCAAAGCTTCTACTGTTTTTTAATATTATTATCCATAAATCACGTGAAACCATATGTAACCAATGGTTTTTGTTATTAGTTACTAAGGTTTTATTATATTGGTAATATCTTCATGCGACTGTTCTTTGATTCTTGATAATGAAAAATCAATATTTAAATATAGTCATTGAATTCGCACGCTCTGGGATCAATAAACAAAGAAAAAAGATGAAAGATTGCAACCCCTAACCAAATTGAATACGAACCCATTCAATTATGGTATCGCTTTAACTAGCTATCGTTTCTTTAGTCTTTTGTCCGTTATCATGGGAATCCTTGTCTTTTGATCTTTTTTTTTTTTTGGTATGAATGGTTAATATTATATATATGCTAAAGTTGAATACAGAGCCAGCCTATGCTGTACACGGATACCATATTACAAAATGGTTATATTGTCAAAATAGTTAAGTTGTGCCTCGCCTACTATTAATGCCTCGTCGTATACTTTCTGATAGCCGAAACCAATCCTGGAGAGGGGAGACCGTCTGCATCGTGTTACTATTAGTGCCTCTCATCAGGAGAAGGATATTCCGCATGGTCCTGTCGATGAGCGGGATAAGTGTCGTCTGAGTTCTCATCTTTCTCCTGAATACTCTTGCATTCCGTTCTTTCCATATGTGGTAGGCAGTGACTTGGACGACTAACAGGGATAAAATGAGTCTGTTGCTACTTGTATCATTGCACGGGTTGTGAATCCAAGATGGGCACCGATCCAACAGTGATGGAGGCGAAGGCCAGACTAGACTAGCAAGTTGTTGCCAGATCAAACTGCTGAAAACACACTCAAAAAAGAGATGGGAGTGCGTTTCAGGCTCAACAGAACACAAGACACATGTTGGGTCGACTTGCATGCCCCATCGAGTTAGTCGGTCCTTAGTCGGTAATCGCTGCAACAGGATTTCCCAAATCAAGAAAGAAAATCTGGGGATAGCGTGTTTGAACCAAACCGTTGTATGCCAGGAAACTGCCGGTTCTTTTAATCGGATCTGGTTCCATGTGCCTTGGCTAGAGAAGCAAGGCTTATAAGTTCCTCCCCCTTGCTTCCACAGAGGAATATCTTGTCTTTTGATCTTGTTGTAAAGCGAATTATTACATATGTATTGTCCGTGAAACTACGATAGAAATATAACAATCACATTTTATCAAAAAAAAAAATTGAATACGACATAAAAATGGAATGATTATATATTTTTAAACCGAAAAAGATGAATCCAAATTGAACTGAAAACTGAACTAAAAAAATTAACAAAAAACTGATTTTTAAATAAATATATATTTTTTTTAATAAAAATCGATTTGGATCCCACCTAATTCAATTCATTATAAAAACTGAAAAGTTATGGCACCACCTTAAGTTCCACTTAGTTTTGGTCCCATGTTTCCTTTCTGGTTTAGTCCAATTATTCAATCCCGCGTCGGTTAGCCCAAACCGATTCCAAACCAAAACCCTTTGGCTGAATCAGAGTATCTTTCTAACTCTTATTCCTCGTACGTTACGGTTGATGATTTGAATTATTTGATTCAAATCTCTGTGTCGTTGTCTTGCAACATCTCAAACTCCAAGTGCAAGTCAAAACTCGTTTAGACACGATATGAACTTCTGGTAGAAGTTCTAAATCCTAATTAAAGTTATATTCCTAAAAAATAAATTCCGGTAATATTTGATATATAATATGGTTTTCATGTTTCTCTTTCCATAGAAGTTCTCTAATACGTCTTCATGGATATCTATATTTTTAAATGTCCAAATATATGCGAATTCATTCTGCATACAAACTTCTCTTAATAGAATTCATACTTCATTGAAGAGACAAGAAGTTAGGCCTATGAACTTGATCAAAGTCCGTAAACGAATAAAAAATAAAAAATGAGAAGAAGAAAAAGATTCGGATGAAAATATCAATAGGTTAGGTTATAAACGAAATCTAAATCCAAAATCTTATGAACGATGATAATTTTTATTTTGAGTTTTTGAATTTTAGTTTTTTGTTTTTATATTATTTGTAAATAAAAAATGGAGTTTTCGGTTTTTAATTGATTTTTCACTAAAGTAGTTTTTTCAAATTTTTAGGAAAACTAATTTTACAAAATCTTGGGTGTCAATTTTTTTTTTATGTAATTCCATGATTTATTATTATTATATATTAGTTTAACAATATTTGATACAGGCATTTTTTTATGTTGTGAATATGTCACATTCATTTGTTGTTGATATGTTATTTTCCTTCTTTTTTCCCCTTTTTAGGTTATTTATTCATAAATCATTTCGTTGGTTCTTACATAATTATTCAGATAATAGTCGCATATTAATGGATTTGTACCTCTAATTTAGTTTAAGCATTAATACAGTTTAAATGTATCAAAATGCGATTTCTAACAGTTGAATTCAATCATTCGTAAATTGTTGTAACGATTATCAATTTGAACCTTTTTTTTATGAAATTGAGATTAGACCACTTGGTTCATCACTAATTGGTTCATGAATCACGTCTCTAAAGATCATCAGGCTTCCAAAAATAATAATAAACAAAAAATTGTGAAAAAAATATATATTACCGAAACAATGCCGTTTACTCGCAATAATTATTTAAACCGAATTTACAAAGAGAGATTCAAGAAAATTTGAAACCGGTATAGAGTTGAAGAAATGTTGGTTGGGGGAGAAATTAATAAGGAGCTTAATTAATAATAATAAAAATAAATTAAAATGATAAACCAAGAAATTTGTAGGGATTAGGGGAGTAATTATTACAAGAATATTTACTTGTCTCAGTTAAATTTTGCTACTCGAATATGTAAGGTTTCCGAGTTCAGACATTTAATGACTTTGATCCCCTCTCCGCTCATTTTCGGAAATTAGGTAGATGTAATTAGATCTCTCCGCATTCATTGTTATTATTATACCTAAATCCCAATAACTAATTTAACATTCTAATTGTATTTTATTTTGTTTTATTAATCCTTAAATTATAACCTAATTTAATTTATTATATGAACCTTTCACAAATGAAGAGTTAATTAATACGTCCATATTGTAAAATAAACAAGTATACGGTTGATTTGTATTTACACGCAAGTTTCTTGTCTAATCTATTCGTGTATTATTTTATTGATTAAGACAAATTAATAATTTAATATCTATTAGTTTCCGATAATCGGAAACTTAGTCGAGATTAGTTTAATACGATTAAATGCGCATATAGTATGAGATTATAGATACATAGTCTTAAAAGTGGCTTTGCATTAATTTATGCATTAATTCAATCACTTATAATCATATCGTTGAACGGTATTTATATTAAACTAAATGAGTTTAAATAAATTTTGAATTGATACAAAAATAACAATAAAATAATTGAAATTTCTGGAAAACATTTTTAATTTAATAAAATATAAAGCGTTTACAGACCCGAAAATAGTTATAGTTTTTATATAAAGAAAATTTCAAGCCTAAAAATATATTGAACTAAACTCCGGAATATGTGAGTCAGTGATATGAAAATGAAACTAATAAAAGTGAAGTTGTCTATATCGCTAATTAATCTTATTATTCAATGAGAATCTTTCATTTAAAAATGGTGCAAATGCAAAGAGTGTGAAATCATGCACATTTATGGATCTATGTCCGAATATAGATTAATTATATGCATATATATTAATATATATATTGTGAAACTTCGTTATACAAGAATGTCTATAGATTGCATTTCGTATTAACAACGCATATAATATGAAAGTCAGAGCAGTTAAAGTGGTAGTTGGGCCATAATTATTGTAGCTTTATCATTGCTTTCACATTCACAAATTAACGAACAAAATCTAATAAAACCCCCATATTAAATCATCACAGTTGTATACAAAAAATTGTTCATAAGTATTTATTGCGGCAGAGATTATTGTATAACGGAATCATTTGCTACGGTCCATGAAATTCCATTATTTCTGATAAACTCCGATTCACTTGAATGTACGTTTAAAAAAATATTAATAATTAAATTATTCAAATTCAACAAAAATCTTACAAAGACTCTAAACTATTGAGACGTCCATTTTACAAATACGAACTTATTACGTTAAATACACACTGACACACACACGCATACTATAAATATGCATGGACTTGTACGGTGATACGTACGTACGTATACATGCGTATATGTACGTATTCACTTCACTTTGTGTCCGAACCAATCTTCGCCATCATCATCGCGATCAAGATTCGAAGTAAAAGGACGATTCAGATCCAGATTCACCTGAACAGATTCATCATGGCCCCAATCTTGCAACATCTCCTCAGACGAAACAAGAGATTTGAGGTTTCCACCCTCCAAAACATCGAAATCCATGAACTCGGAGAAGATGAACTCTGATTCGAATCTGTCGAAATCGCTCATTAGATCTCTCAATAACGCCGACCCTTCATCCATCGCCACGTTCTTCGCTACTTCACCAAACTCTCTGCTTCGTTCTTGTTCTTGTTCGTGTCCTCGTTCTTGGTCTTGTTCTCGTTCTTGTTCTCGTTCTTGTTCTTGTTCTCGTTCTCGTTCTCGTTCTTGTTCTTGTTCTGGGTTTGGCAAGGGAGAAGTGGTATCACTCTGATGATGAAGTGGAGGGAGGTCAGGAAGAACTAGGGTTTTAGTGCATTTAACGGCCTTTGTGCGTATAACGCCGGCATTGTTGTCGCCATTGATGATGTTTCGAGAGCTTAATGGCGGTTCTGTGACAAGATCGTCGGCCTGATCAGACAAAACAGTCATCTGTTTCCTGTGTTTCGATCTGTTCTGACATGGAACACGTGTTTTCTCTTGGCCATGCTGAAGCCTTTTGCGGAGACTTGAGTTCCAATGGTTCTTGATCTCATTGTCTGTTCGCCCTGGCAACCTCCCAGCTATCAACGACCACCTGCATGCATGCATGCGTGATATATCATACAATTTCAGCGTATATACCTGTGTATACGTGTACATATATATAGTTAGGGTACGGATAATACAAGAAAAACCTGTTTCCGAGTAGATTGTGAAGACGAACGATGAGTTCCTCTTCATCGGGAGAGATGTTGCCTCTCTTGATGTCTGGTTTCAGATAGTTCTTCCACCTGAGTCGGCAACTCTTTCCACATCTCTTGAGACCTTGCGATTTAACAACATGGAACATGAAGAAAGGAACAGATAAACAAAACCCTTGTCTGGTCATCAGAGGATATATATCTTATGTGTGCGACTGTATGTATATGTTTATACGTATAAAGATACCGGATTTCTTAGGGAGAGTGCTCCATTTGCCTTCACCATGAGTTCTGATGTACTCTCTTAGGGTGTTGTCCTCTTGTGCCGTCCATGCTCCTCTGTTCAAGCCTTCTTTTGCACAGCATGACCTCCTCCCCATTCTCTCTCTCTCTCTCTCTCTCTCTCTCTAACTTTGGGTAGATTCTTTCTCGTGGTGTCGTGTCAAGAGAGAGTGGGGAATTTATATAAGGGTCATAGGAAAATCGACCGTACGGTTTTTGTACTTTATGTCGTTTTCCAAAACCTCTGTCACACTTGACTTGCTGTCTGTCCGAGTTGTTGTGGATTCTCACAGTTTGGTGATGTCCTCTCTTGAGATTTCTGCCATAATTTTTTTACCGGATTATTTTACCTAGAGAAGGGCGTTTTGATACGGTAACTGTGGTAGGAAAAACTCGAGATCGTTCTCAAACGGAATTGTCCAAAATTCTCAAATTGTATTTTTTGTAAGGAACCTAACTTCTTGAAACCAAATTAAACCGAAAACGAACGAATTAAACCGAATATAATATGATAACCAATTGATATATATTTGTATAGAACTGAAAAAACCAAACCGAATAATTACCGAACTTAATATTGACACGCTCACCACCTAACTTTACCATCAGTTATATCATTACCAACACAATAATATATATATATATATATACTCGGAAATTTAACCAAAGGGTGAAAGAAATCTGGTTTTAAATGGCTTCTATCGATGCTTTCGATTGAAACCCATGATATTTTGACACGATTCGATCGTTTAACAAAAAACAAATCAAGAAAATTTGTTTTCAAGGAAATGAGATCAAAGGGACAAAAAATCCGGTTTATTAAACCATTTTTTTTATGGTTAATCCGGTTTCTTATCGGTTAATTGGGTTTATCAAACCGATTCGGATTAAAATTATAAAACCAACATTGCTGTCGTGTCACGTGACATGTCAATGACGTGGATTCCTATTCAGTATTCTGGTGCCACCTCATCATTCATACGTTTTAAAAGATGATCAACATAGTCAAAGGTTAAATGTGAGCGGAGTTTGCAAACTTTATGTTTAATTTTGAAGTTTATGTCACCGTGGAGATTTTTTGTGGTACGTTACAAGTTAAGGGTTATTCGTAAGATAATTTAACAACTTCAAATTTTTGTCATGGGATAAACTCTTTCTGTTACTATTGAATGATATGGTGTCATAGTACGCACATTGCACGAGTATAAATGGGTCTCTACATATTTTCTTCGTATATATATATATATATATATATCAACGTTGTTAGAATTAATAGTTTTAATAATACATGTTATATGTTACAAAATTTACATAAGATATTAAGTTTTAAATTCAAATACCAAACATATATCTTTTTTCCACGGAGTCGCCCATCGAAGCGAGCCCAAATATGATACATGAGATAACGCCCCTTAATGGCCCAAAAAAAGCAACACAAAAAAAAAAAAAATCTCAAAACGGTGCGTTTCTTTCTTTCCCGAAGGATGAGGACACACACAAACTCGTTTCCAAACACCCCGTTTCCATCTCCCCCGAACCCTAATTCCTTGGGCATATATATATCGTGTTTTCTCATTGTTCCCGTTTTTTTTGTCTGAGCCTTTTTAGGGTTTACGGAGAGCAATTCACCGCAGCTTCCATTAGCTCCGTCTACCTAGCTCTCTAGATCCCTCGAACATGGCAACTCAGATCAGCAAGAAGAGGAAGGTGAGTTATTGTAGTCATCAGTTATTTGATCTCTCTGGGTTCAACGTTTTGGGAAGATTCTCGATTCTCATCCTTTTTCCGCCCTTTTTTTTGTCGGATTCTGGGGATTTTTAGTTTGTCGCTGACGGAGTTTTCTTCGCCGAGCTCAACGAGATTCTAACTAGAGAGCTCGCTGAAGATGGATACTCCGGTGTTGAGGTCAGAGTCACCCCCATGCGTACCGAGATCATCATCAGAGCCACTCGTACCCAAAATGTTCTGGGTATGTTGCAGAACAATATGTTATGCGTGTGATGTATATAACTTTGATTTCGTTTCTGTTTTTCCATTATAAGTATCGATTATCTGTTGGTTGATTTGGATTTTCTGGGTTTTCCGATTTATGGAGATTCCTTTTAGTGATAATCAATTCTTGTTTTTGGGTTTGTGGGATTTAGGTGAGAAGGGAAGGAGGATCAGGGAGCTCACGTCACTTGTTCAGAAGAGATTCAGATTCCCTCAAGATAGTGTTGAGCTTTATGCCGAGAAGGTTAACAACAGAGGTCTCTGTGCCATTGCTCAGGCTGAATCTCTCCGCTACAAGCTCTTGGGTGGTCTTGCTGTTCGTAGGTACGATATCGTTTTGGTTATCCGAAATTTTATCGCTTTTGTTTTGCTAATTAACTTCTTGTTTAGTTTGATGTATTTCCTGTTGGTGGTAAATTTTTGTCTGGATTTGGTTATGGAAGATCGTTTGTTGGGTCATCTACAAAGCAAATAGGTTTCTTCTATACCAATTTTGTGTCGGAAGGTGACAACATTGTTATAAGCTCCTCTATTGCATGATTGCAGTGAAAGGGTTTTTTCTTTCATGCGGTAGCTCTATGGAGGGGACATTATTTAATTTGATAAAAATGTTTGTGCATGACTAGTAACATAATGGTAAATATGAGTTCATGATGCCAATCATATTGTTCAGTGTTGCCGATATCCTTGTAAAACTTTCATGTGTCGTATGGTGCAAACTTAGTTAGGGAACGGTATGAGTTGGATTTGCTATCTTTGTGTACGAAGTTAATAAATCTTCCGTTGTTTGGATTGTTGTGTGGATATTCTTTGTTGGGTCATCTATAAAGCAAATAGGTTGCTTCTGTACCGATTTTGTGTCGGAAGATGACAACATTGATATTAGCTCCTTCATGCCTTTATCCTCATGAAAGTTTTTCTCTTTCATGCAATACCACTATGGAGGGCACACTATGTGATGTGATTAATGAATTTCTTGTTCACAATTCATAGTTCTGAAGCTTAGATACTCTACTAGTTTCATGATAAAATTCATCTTATTGTTCTAGTTAGCCTGAATGTGTCTTGTTTTTCAAGCTTGAAATTAGTCGGCCATGGATCTTATTTACGTTCTGACCTCAGAAGAACATCCGTATGAATCTGATTTTGTTGATCCATCCAACTTGTTCAGGGCTTGCTATGGTGTCTTGAGGTTTGTCATGGAGAGCGGTGCCAAGGGATGCGAGGTTTGCTTCCACATCCCCCACCTATTAATATCATTGAAGTTTCATCAAATACCCTTTTGTAGCGAATGCTCACCTTCCCAAATCATTCTCGGCTTTGAACAGGTAATTGTCAGTGGCAAGCTTAGAGCTCAGCGTGCCAAATCGATGAAGTTCAAAGACGGATACATGATCTCATCTGGTCAGCCTTGCAAAGACTACATTGACTCAGCAGTCAGACACGTCCTCTTGAGACAGGTTTTCCTCGTAAACGATGATTCATCTAACAAATTCTGGAAAACGGGACTTGATCCATATGTTATTTTGGTGTGATTTTGTGTTTGTGGGCAGGGTGTTCTTGGTATAAAGGTAAAGATCATGTTGGATTGGGACCCTAAGGGCAAGCACGGTCCCAAGACTCCACTGCCTGACCAGGTTACCATCCATGCTCCCAAGGACGAGGAGGGGCCTGCTCATGTTCCCGTGCAGGTTGTGAACCAACCGGTCGCTGTTCCAGTCGTGCCCGAGACCGAGATTCCGATCGTGGCTTAATATGTTTGAATCGTTTTTTCAATGATATGATCGTTTTGTTGATTCTTGGTGGATTACACTTGATGGTTTAGATTTTGGTCTTAATTCCGTTCGGACTGGATTGTGCCAATCTGCGACATAATGTTCTTTTTTTATTCTGTTTCCGAGCTTTTGTTCTTCATATGGCTCGCTTCTTTTCTGATTAAAATGTTCTAATGCCAAATTGTGGATTAATTGTAGCAATTTTGGGGATTGGTATTTCTGTCTATAAAAAAATTAATATTTTAAGCAAATCTAATCGGACGTATGTCCGGGACTCCGAGGAACGAAATACGCAAAAACGTGTCTCGGATCAAAGATAAAGATCCCTGGAGATGAAGATAAGTCACCGGGAAAGCGATCAAGGTAGGTAATCTCTGTTCGGAGATAGGCAATGCAACAAGGTGACAAAGCCGGTGGCTGTGTGACCGGCGCAATCAAGAGTTTGACGAGTGCGAGTACCTTCCTCGGGCTCAGGTCCCAAGACCACACGGGTTTAACGTTGGGTAGCAGCTTTTCAAGAAGCCGGCCAAGAAATCATGGGATGTGATGTCCGGTCCGGCCAAGCAGCTGTATAATTTGAAATGTGAATCGCAGGGCGGCACGAAATCCTCGGAAATCGTCCGGGGTAGGCTATCTCCGAACAAAGAGTGAAGAATCACGGTCGGTCAAGGTGGATCCCCTCTCTGAGACTTCCTTTATGGTTCGTGAATATCCCTTTGCGATTGCAGTGTCTCTCTCTGGAGAATTTGTTAGGAATGAAACACATTTTGTTTCCAATTTTCGCCTGCTTCGGATCAAGAACGCAGGAAAAGAGGAGGGAGCTTTTTGGGGCAAACTACGTACAAGCAGACAGAACGCAAGAGTGAATGAGTTCGTTCATTGCTGAAACATTAAATCAGGACGAGACAACAAATAACGGTAAACTCTCTCTGTTTCGATCTCACTCAGCTTCTCTTGACAGGATCGAAGTTGGAGACGCCGACGATGGCGCCGATGATGGCGGTGACGACGACGCCGCCGGCGGCAATACTGAGCAAGAAGTTCTTGAGGGAAGGAGAGACATCTGATCCGGCGGCCTCTGCCACCTCTGGGATCACCATAGAGGCCGTGAGAGCCGCCGCGGCTAGGCCACTGACCGCCTTCTCCATCTTCATCTTCGAAGCCGCCGCCCTCACTTCCAGCCTCCTCGCACCGCCGGAGGATCCCACCTTCGCCGCCCTGGTGAGCCTTGCCGGCAACGGTTTGAGGAAGGCCATGGTCGCGGTCGTGCTCCTGGTCTGGGGAAGTGACGCCATCACCATTGACACGGCCGGAGTTGAGGACGCCATTTGCTCAGAGTAAGTCTCTCTCTCTCTCTGCTCTTTTGTGAACTGGGGAGCCAAATGGGAGGGAGGGAGGGACAGTTGTTAAGAGGAGAGCTGGGGGGATCTGGGGGAGATGGTGAGGCTGACGTGGCGGATCCTGGGCTTGGTATTGGTGGATAAGGTTATCTCCCGATTCTGGTTTGGTCCAATTACATGGTCCCTTTCCTTCTGAGATTCTGGTGGAGGTTTCTCTCCCTGAATTCGGACATGCCACGTGGCACGCGTATTACGGGCCTGTTTCTGGGTTTTTAAAGGGGTGTATTTGTACACCACAAGGTTAACTAAAAACGTTCAGAAAGTTCATGTCGTATAAACAGTACTAGGAGTAAGTAATTGTGTATATATATATACAAACGGAGTTTATACAAAATAAAAAACATAATCGCAATGCCAAATATCAACTGTTAGAAATCGTTGAGTATGTGATATGACCCTCCGGGATCAACTTTGATGTTATTAAAAAAAAAAGACTCACATTCTACGTAGGTTGTCTAGCCTCGCCTGAAGATCGCTGTCTATTCCTCCGTCATCGTTTCCTCCCGTTGCCTCCGCCTGAGCCACCTTGTTCTTCGCTGCAGGCGCTGCCACTGCTGCCGATGGAGCATTCACCAGCTGCAAAAAAAATAGTCGCCCGATTTTTTTTGGGTTAAAGACCGATATTTTTCGATCGTATGGCCGTCAATATGTATATGTTATATGGTAAGGGGGGATGGTTATTAAGGGTTTACCTCTTGGTTGATGTCGATACCGATCTCGTCTAGAACCTGGCTGACGAGTTCTTCCGTTTCTTCCTCTTCCTCGTCGCCTTCCAAAGCATCGTCGATGGCGTCTCCCATCACCTCGGAGACCATCTCCATCTTCTCGTTCTGCCTCTCAAACTCTTGCATGATCTTCTGCAGTGACGGCAAGTTCATCTGCCTGTTCATCTGTCCCATCGCTTTCGTCACCCCTTTCATCGCCTCTCCCATTGCTTGTGTCGATTTCAATGTCTGAACAACATCTCAATCCATTTTTATCTTTCAGTCTGTTGTCCCAAAAACAAAAACAAAAAAAAAATCTCCACCCACTATCCATATGGATCCCGATAGTTTTGCGATTATCATCAACTATAGACACTTTTGAACTCCTACCTGATCATTCTCTTAAAAGCTTTGACACGATAGAACGGAAATCAAACGACGGGAATGACAGATGGTTGTTGTGTCGTGATGAACCAATGCAGAGAAATATAAAATGTACCTGGATCCTGAGAGAAACGCCTTGGAGTTGGGATTTAAGCTTGTAAAACTTTTCAATCTGATGTCGGGTTCGGATCAGGTCCTTTGCCATCACCTTAACAGCTCCCTGTAACAAAGTTGCAGCCAGAAGATGATATGTGTTATAGGAGCCCGAGTCATCGTCCAATTGTTAGGTAACTTAATACAATAAAAGTACATTCGAAAGAATAAAAAACATTGATAAGTAGTTGACTGAAATATTTATAAGCTACGATTCATTTAAAACTAAAACATGTGAGGGTTAAATAGTAAGCCGCCAAGGTAAGTTCTCGTATATTCCCTTTGAAGCTTGTCGCATTAAGTTCTCGTCTACTGTAATCATCGTATAGCTAAGAGCTCACAACACCAACCCATTAAATACAAATTTAGGAAAACATATTACGAAAAAAGGGTGATACGTTTTGCCCAATTCATCTCACAGATCATATACTCATTCAACTCATTTTCACTATGAACTTTTAGTTTCTGTTCCATCCATAAGTGAAAAACTTTACTGACACGAAATGAGATAAGCGAACAGAGAAACAGACCATCTGGCCCTGCTTGGCAGTCTTTTTTATCTCGGCGATCAGTTTCTTTTCTTGTGTTTGCAGACCTTGCCTCTCCCTCTCTATCTCCCTGATAGACTTATCCAACATCCTCTTGTTTTCCCGCAGGAGTTCTGAAACAACAACACCACGACATGTTTTACAAGGTATACATGAATTGCTCGGCACATTATACATGACAGAAAACTTATCCAACAGCATTTGCTACAAAACTATTCACATACTTGATCTGCACATGCAAAAAGACACAGAATCCATAACCAGAGAAACTAATCCTGTAAGAAGCTTAGCCTCATTCAGGCAGCATTCAAAGACTAATTGCAAAAAATGGAATGATGTTTTGATTCTTGAGTCAGGAAGAGATTGATCTCGTTTAAATTAAGAGCATTCTCCACTAACCCCATCACTAGAAACGAGAGAAACAGCAGGCATTTGGCTCCAATTTCCTCATGATTACGACAAAGCATGGAAATCATCACAAAAGATCAGAACGCAATCCAATCGAACCGATGTACTTCAATCTCCTAAAATATGGATATGGATCAGTGGATGCGATCAGAGAATCAGACAAAGGATCGACGTAAAGTCGTAAACCCTAGCTATAAATCCATCGGAATTCAAACTCAGGATCCCAACCGATTAAACGATAAAGCCCAGGAATTTCCATGATAGCGATTTCAAAAAAAAAACAAAAAGGTCGAAGTTTTCAGGAATCATGAGCGAAACAACGGGCTCCACCGAGGAAACTGGAGGAGGGAGACGAACCTGCAGGAGTCTTTCGCTTGCCAAAGATGAAACTCATGATGGATTGCGATCGATGAATGAACCAAACACGAATCCGAATTCTTCTCAAGTTCAGCAAAAAAGCTTCGATCGGTGTGAAACCTTCACAATCTGATTCTTAGGCACGAAAAAGAGATTTTTTCTTCTTCCTAAGGCTTGAAGCAGCTTCGAATTCGATCGCCTCGGAGAATCATTAGGTATGAATATAATATAATAATATACCATCCAATTTCTTCCCAAATCCTTTTTTGACCCCATACTTTATTTTGGGGTCAATGTTACCCGATACATTTGGTATTCCAGTTTTCCGTGTGTCCAATTTCGATTTCGTTTCTCTTGAATTTTTTGGTCAAATTATCCCATTTTGGTTTCATAAGAATTTACCTGAGTTTTCTGATATGGGGAAGATTGAAAACAAACTACAAGTCACTAATCATGATAGATCCACAAAAAAATTATAATTTGGGATACATTTGATTTATATTATAAAGCAAATTTAATTTTATTATAGAGTTATTTAACAATTTAATTTAAAATTTTATAAACTTTACAAAGAAAATAAAACTTTTAAATGAAAATGAAATTTTCCGATATGAATTTAGTCAAACGTGACATTTTCATATAAGTATTTTTAATCTGACAAAAAACTAAACTTGAATTAAAAATTTTCTAAATGTCTATACGAATTATTAAAATTAACAATAATTGAATACCTAATCATTTTCATTAAAAAATTATGGATTCTATTAACTAATGTATTAGTTAAATAATTATTGTAATTCTCGTACACGTCAGCATATTAGTTAATAGAATTCGAAAATTTTTAACGAAAATGGTGATTATGTATGTAATTACTGTTAATTTTAACAATTCGTGAAGATATTTGGGAAATTTTAAATTTAAATATAGTTTTTTTATCAAATTAAAAATAAGTGTATGAAAAATATCACATTTAACTAAATTCGTGTAGAAAAATATTATTTTTTTAATTTTTAATTAAACAAATGGGATCTCAAATCCTATTTATAAATGAATGAGAATACCGAAATTTGAGTCTCTAAGATAACATATAAAATATATTTTTATTCTGTGTTCAAATCCAAACGTAGAGAATGAGATTTATATGAAATAATAAGATATAAAAGATGATTAAAGAGTGAAAATAGAGATGCGAAAAACGAAATAATGGTCGAAATCATATTTTATTTTGTTTATCAATATAAGAAAATATTCAAATTAAAAAATTTAACCCTTTTTTTTTATAAAATTCATGGTATCATCTTCTTCTTCCAGTTTTAAATTGTCTTCTCTATTTCGAATACTCCAAAATATCGATAATTTCTGATCAAATATAAATTTTAATTTGAATGTTTGATTCTCATTATAGAGATTGATAAATACCTAAAACTTTAGATATCTAAATCATGAGTTGATTAGAAATTTGATATTTATCTCGATTCTATTAAATTACGTATTTGAGAAAAGATATCAAAATATTTTTTATATTTTTATTGAAATTTTAAATGATGAGATTGTGAAAGATGGTTAATAAAATATTGTCTTTTTAATCAAAATAAATTCATAATTTACTTTGGCATTATGATACGAAATCATATAAAAAATATTGGACTTATACCTTTTCAAAACTCTATAATCAGATTCATCAAACGAAGAGGATAGAAATTACCAAATGTGTGGGGGTGGATTGTAACTAAATTAAGTACGGGAAAGAAAAAATATTTTTGTGATTATTGGGGGACCTAATAAAAAAAGGTTAAGGGCCAACCAAATCCCCCTTTAGTCCTTTACATCGCCTGACGTGAATTTCCACCAACGCGTTGAAGGGTTGATTGGGAAATTATTATAAGGAAGCATCTTATGCTGACGTGGCACGTTGACACTTGGTAAAAAATTATAGAATTACGGTATGTTTTTATAATGAAGAAAAAAAGAGTCTTTTTAAAAACACAATAATATATTGTTATATAGTTCTCATCGAACAACAATCACAGTCATGCGTTAAAGAACTTATAAAACCGAAATAAATCCTACATATCATATAGTATTTTCAAAAAATATTATTGAATAATAAATTGGTAACGTGTTTTTTTAAAAAAATCAGATAAAACTTTGATATCATTTGTAATTAATAAGGATGAGAACTATTAACAAAAACGTCCAATAAATAAAAAATATATTCGATTTATTCTTGAAAATAATATACAAATCATACAAATCTATAACTATAAATATATAATCCTGACATTCAAGAATTTTTCGATCCAAAATGCACTTTGTTCTATAATTTTTTATATAAAATTTCAAATGACTATAAAATACTCACAATTTTTAGGATAAAACACCATTTTATTCGTAGCAAAATAAAAAAAAAAACAATGTCTTCTTGTATAATATGGATTCTAAAACTTTTTATGGACGTGGAATATTTGTTTCGAGAGGTTCAGCCCGTTAGATTTTCAAAAAATTTCATAATTATTGAAAAAATTTCAAAGATTTTCGTGTGTATTTGATAAAAAAAAAACTATAAGTCAATAATTTATTATAGTTAGCAAACAAGATCATCAAAGTTGTAACAATAACAAAAAACACGAAAAAAGGAAAGAGATATAAGGGTTAATGGTAGTAGTTTTTATTTATTTTTTGTAGTTTTAGTTTTTGGTTTTTGGTTTTTAATTTTTAGTTTTTGATTTTTTTAATATTTGTAACTTCAAAAAATGAAAGTTTTTGGTTTTTAGTTAATTTTTTCAATAAAATAATTTTTTAAATTTTTAGGAAAACTAAATTTATAAAATCTTGATTATTATTATATTTGGTTATTTTATTTTTAAAATTCCAAAAACCCTCTACCATTCAACCCCATAGCGTTTTCTAATTTCTAAAAAAATTGAAATAGAAACACCACAGTTTGAAAACTTCTTATATATATATATAGGCGGATCCAGAAAAATTTTATAATAGGGATAAAAAATAAATAAATATATATATATAATACAAAAAAGTTAATAAAAATATATGATATAATTTTTTATTTAATTAAAGAAAAAAATAAAAATTTTAAAATAGAAAATAAAAAATATATAGAAGATAATAGATTTTTTTATTTGATTTATTAGATAACGTTATAAGATACATTCAAAATTAACAACAATAGGACCAGTGTATTAATTGTATTTTTTCAAAATCTTTAATAAATTTTATAAATAATTAAAAAAAAAAATCAGTAGGACCAGTGTCCATATATATAAAGAGAAGCAATGGATGGGCCTAATATAAGTAACGTCCTAAAAGGAGAACCATAAAACATATTGAAGGAATCAAAGCCAATTTATAGGCCCAATATATATCCTTTTATCATGGTCCACATATGTAATTTTATATTATATTTTCAAAAATAATATTCTATAATTTACTTGAAAAACAAACATTCTATAATTTATTTGGAAAAAACTTATAAATGATGAATATATGAAATATGATATTTTGATTAAAAGATTTTTTCCTATAGTCAACAGCATCATCAATTTAAAATTTTTACCATTTTTGTTATTTTTTGTTTAATTATAATTAATTAATTATCCTATTATCTTCTGTTTTTTTAAGAGGTAATTCCGGTAATTTCTTTTGTCCCTTCCTTCTTTTACTTTTACCTCCAATATTTTTCTTCAATTTTACAGTAAAAAATACTTATATATATATATATATATATATATATATATATCAGGCTGACATTTGCACATCAATTTGCAAATTCGAATATTCTGCATTTCTATGCACAATGAAGATTTTCAATGGTCGGTCCTTGAAAGGCGCAAACGCCTCTCATGAGATACGATGCTCTTGCCAAAATGGCTCACACTTCGAAATCGCTCACAATTTCCCAAAAGAACCAAAAATGGAAGATTTCTTGTTTTCGAATATCAGATATATATTTTTTTATTCTTAAAATAATTAGATATTTCTTACATTTGATTAAATATTAACATTTTAAATGTTTTTTTTTGTCGTAATGACTTCTTAGACATTGTATATACAATAATAATAATAATAATAATAACTACCCCAATATTTTTATTTTATTTTACAAGTTAGACCTTTGAACTCAATTCCAAACTAAATAAGATGTATTAGTTCAGATTTATTCAATTAACTAAGAAACATGTGGTAATAGTTAATAAATCTAGCCTTTTTTAAAGTTATATGCAATTTTATTCTTTTAAATAAAATATGAGATAAGCTGAATTATAAAAAATTTCCATCAAATAGTAGATGTTCTTTATTTTTTTCAGCATTTTTTTGTAAAAGTCTTTGACTTTTTTTATATTACTTGGAAATATTGATAATATTGATTTAACAAATTAAATAACATATATATATATATATATATATATATATATATATAAGTTTGGTTTTGATTCATATACTAAGTTTTATCATTTTGATCTACCCATATCACTTAGAATATTAGTGAAAATAATAATAAAAATATATATGCTTTGAATAGTACATGTATAAAGAATTATTAAATAGATGTTTAATAAAATTTAAATTTTCCGTAAGAAAATTAGATAGTCTGTAAAAATAAATCTTAAAAATTAATGGTTTTAAGTTTTAAAAAATATCATAAAATTAAAAAAATACGTAAAATATATAATTAGCAAAAAAAAATCTACAAAATTAATTAAATTAACTAAAGAATTTATTTCGTTAGAGATTACGTGTACGACAGGATACGAAGTCGAAGCGTGTAAAAAGAGCCTGGAAGTTTCCAAAGTGACAGGTGGCGCCTTATCTTTCCTTGTGTAACTGTTTCTGCGCCACGTCAGACTGCTCCTCGAGTCGAACAACGCAAATGTTTTAAATTAAAAAAGAGGTTTGCTTATAAAAATAAATTAATAATATGATTAATCACATAATCAGCGGATCGATTAATAAATTAATTACTTTTTTGTCTTAAATGTATTATTGTTGTCAATATTCTAATTATAATCCTGAGGGAAAAAAAAAACAAGCCTCTTCTGTTTCTCTCCCGACAAGCTTCTTCGTGTTCTTTGTATCCATCACTAATTCTCTCTGTCTCTCTCTCTCTCTATGTGTGATAATGGCGAATAACGAAGACCTTGCGGAAGATCCGAACTTAAATGGAGGAGGAGATTCCTTTGATTCGGTCAGCCAACGATTGAAAGATCGATCTAAGGTACGTCGTTATTGTCGCAATCATGAGATTCGATTTCGATCTCAGCGTTTTGATTCCTGTTTCAGATTCGGATTTACTCATGCGTTCCTTTTTTGGTCGGAATTTGAAATTTTCCTCCATGTTTGTGTTCTTTCGAGTTTTGTTCACAGAAAGTTGCTCAGACGAGGGAGTTGCTGTCGAAACAGGCGGTTCAGACGAAGGAGATCCTGTCGAAACAGGCGGTTAAGATTGCTAAACAAGCCGAAGAACACGAGAGATTCATCAACAAGGCATGTACTTAAATTCCGACATGAACTCGATCAATCTCGAACCGGTGTTATTTTTCCTCCCCTGGGTCTTCCTCTTCCCCTGTCCTTCGGACGTCAATAGAGACCATTGATGTTCCACGTCGATATGTGTACATAGATATGTATGTAATGCTGGATCGTACAAAAGCGATTGAGCGATTTATTGCGTACTTTACGTAGTGATTGTGACATTGATGCGTAAAGCCATGGTGTTTGGACATCTTAGTAGACATGTAGGCTGGTGGAACACCATGCTTGAATCATGATTCATTAGTGAAACAATGAACTGCTGGTTACTGTTTCCGGCATGTGGAATTGATGTGGAATGATTTTCTCGGCCGTTCAGGTGACGCATCTTCTCGGGGTGCTCGGATTCGGAGGCTTTTGTTTCCTTCTCGGAGCGAGTGAGTGAACAAAGCCGTGATCGATTGGAAGAGTTTCGAACCAAAGTTCTGACCATCTTTGTCTGATGAAGCCTTTGTGATGTTATGTTCTGCGTGTTTTCGCAGGGCCCCAAGACATTCCTCTCGTCTACTGTCTGTTCTATGTGGTCTTTGTTCCTCTCCGGTGGATATATTACCGGTACAAGAAATGGCACTACTATCTCTTGGTAAGCCTTTGTAAACCTCTAAATTGGAATTATGCTTGTCTATGCGAATTCCCGTTCATGTGTAGACTCAAATATGTATAATTTTCAAGGTACCGATCTCGGCGTATCGGTTGTAATAGATGCAATTGGATAAAATGCTGATGCATTTGCTGACATTTTGGTCTAATTTCATATATAGTTTATTGTACACAAAGATGCTTCTTCGGCTCGTGCTGAATGAAATTTCGATGCCGAATTCATATTCTTGAAATGTTGGTAGATGAAATTACTTCCTTAGGATCGAGATTCTCGGATTTTACGTGGTTCCTCTGTGGTCATTACTGACTTTTTCGTGTGCGATGTCACGGGCAGGACTTTTGCTACTATGCCAATACGATATTCTTGGTCGATCTTCTTCTTTATCCCAAAAACGAGAAGCTTTTCATGGTCTGTTTTTCTTTTGCTGAGGTATGTATGATTTTGAATCACACACACACACACATATATATATATATATATATGTTTTCATGTGTTCATTTATCAATAGTGTCTTGTTGACCAATTCTTTAAAAAATCTCGCAGGGGCCTTTAGCGTGGGCGATTATCGTTTGGCGTTGCAGCCTGGTTTTCAGTTCTCTTGATAAAATTGTTAGTGTTCTAATACATCTTTTACCAGGTAAGCTGTAGTAAAATTTCCGTGTCGTCGATATATCGTGAAGGAGTACCAAAGATTTATTTTTATTTTGCCGTTGTTTAGGTCATTTCGTTTCGGAATTTAGTAGGAAGAGGACGCCTCATGACGAATTACGAGCAGCATGTATATGATGGAATGAAATTTCGGCTTTCGAAATCTTTACTAGTGAAAAATCTTTAGCCGGACCCGAGTTGCGATGCCATTGTTTAAAAACCAACCAAAACAACCTTGTTCATGGACTAACATGAATAACTGAATGTTCTTTGTTCTGTCTCTTTGTCTTTTCCTAGTCTTGTAATGACTCTGATTCCATTTTGTTTGTTTGATTTTTTATTTTTTTGGGGGAAGGGCTCGTGTTTTTCACGATCCGGTGGTGGAACCCGACAACATTTGCGGCAATGCACCCAGAAGGCACAGCCAGAAGGGTGTCCTGGCCGTACGTGGAAGACAAGTCTTACCTCTTCATGTGGCTGTTCCTTGTCCCCTTGGTCGTTTACACTCTCTGGCAAGTTCTCTACTTCCTCATCGTCAACGTTCTTCGTCGGCAGCGTCTCCTCAGAGATCCCGAAGTCATGACATCTTACAGGTACCCTCTCTTTTTCTTCTTCTTCTTGCATCTAACCATGTTTTTAAAAAACATTCCACATCAATCTATTGGAAATTATGATGAGTTTTTAGTTTGTACAGAGTTTAGATTTTATTATGTTTTCTTTTTGAATAAACCGTTTTTCTAACCGAGCCTGACAAGTACCGAAAACCGAAATATCCACCTTTTACGTGCGAATTTATGTGTGAAAATCAGTTTTCGTTTCTTATTTGATACCCATATAACAAGATCGTTCCGAACAGAACCGGTACTAAAACCGAACCGAACCTGTTGACATTTGATTCTAGTTTGATAAACTGTACCCGAGATGTCTATCCTTACAATCTATAACCATTTGGTTTTTATTTGGGGTCTGGGTCTCTTTAGTTAAAAAGTGGGGAATGTTCATTTCCTGTTCGATCTTTTCAGTTATTTTTATATCTGGTTTAGGTCATGGTACGGGTTATGTTAATAACTTAAATATGCAATCGAAACAAGGTTTTCTCTCAGTATGGGTTCGAGTCAGCAACTCTTTTTAAGACAAAGACATTAAGAGTGTAATAATGTAATGTAATTGGACAGGGAGCTGTCGAAGAAGGCGCAGAAGGCGAACAACATGTGGTGGAGGCTGAGCGGAATGTTAGGGGACCAGAACAGGATGCTCATGTACATCCTGTTCCAAGCCGTCTTCACCGTGGCCACCATGGCCCTGACCGTTCCCATCTTCCTCTCCTACCGTCTCCACGTCGTCTTCCAGATCCTTAAAGTCTCCGCCGCCGTCTGGAACGGCGGCAGCTTCCTCCTCGAGGTCATGCCCCGTCAAGTCATCCAGAAACAACAGAAAAAATCCGACACTTCCGCTTCTACTGCTGCTCCGCCGCCGCCTGAAAACGGCCTTATTTCGAGTCAGGGCCAAGTTGTAGAGTAACAATCATAATCGTTATTGTCGTTAGGTTTTTGTGATGATACCAAATTCATAGGTCTCGTGATCTATACAGGTTTCCTCTTCTTTTTTTTTTTTTTTTTTTGGTTGGTTGGGTTTGTGGCTCTGTTGTTTTCGTGGGAAAAAAAAAAGTCTTAAGAACGTTGTTTGTATAATTTTATTGATTTTGTTACACTTTCTCCCTTTGGGGTGTGTTAGAATTTTGTCTTAAAGTGGTGTCAATCGGGTCAGATCGGTCCAAATCCTTAATCGGTTTGAGGATTTTAGGTTCGGATTTGGGGCGGTTTTGAATGTTTTTGGGTCTATATAACCAATCCCCAAGGCTGGGCTTTGGGTTCGAACTTTTTGTAAAAAAATAATAATAATAATAATAATAATTAATTTTTTTTGAAAAAAAATATTCGGTTTTTGGATTTTGATTTTGTCTGTTCTGTTTCAATTCATTGATCAATTAAAAGTGTGAAAGTCACCACCTTTGTATTTTTTTTATTACAGTGGTAAGGTGAGAGGGTTTTTTTGTCACCGACAACTCAACAGAAAGAGAACAAAAAAAAAAAAAACTAATGGGTGTGAACGTGGAAAGCATACGGATAAATTTTGTGTATATGAGTTTTTCCGCATTCATAAATATGTTTATACCACAATTATTATATAATATATATTATATATATACATGCGTGTGTATAGGATTTTTTTTATATTTATGTATATGTTTACACTGCAATTGTTGTTCCCAAAGTATAGATTTAGCAATCTAAATCTGCACAATCTATACTTGGGAACAACAATTGCATTATCAACGTATCTATACATATAAAAAAAATCCTATACACACATGTATATGTGTATATATATAGATATTATGTACAAGATTTTTCATGGCTTCTATTCGACGGCTGTTCTCATTCCGTGGAAAATGTACATCCCAAGAGAGGATCGTATTTTATCATATGGTTCCCTTGACATCATTAATATATAATACACATCCGTATGAAGCAGGAGCCTCTGGGCTAACTACGAAGTTCTCAATGGTTCAAAGACAACAATATTTAACACATCTGGTTTGTTCATGTCTTGAGAAATTTCCCCTTACCTGTAAATGTCGAAGAAGCCAGAAGGCAAAGTTTGTAGCAAATCTGATTCTTTTACTGTAACACCAAAAGGGTATCCATCTCGGGCCTCGAGACAGTTGAATCCTTCATCAGGACATAATAAAGAAGAACCTGAGTTTGCGAGTTCCGATCGTCTCTCGGCTCTAGAGGAACGGAACGAAACCCGTGTTCCCGGACACAAAGTGAGAGAACTTGTGATGTGTGTAGATGATTGATTCTATGGGACAAAAAAACAGGAGCATGTCTGAAAATCGGATCTGTGATCAATGTTTTGCCTCAATAACAACTCTCCGTTCGCCTTTCTGCTCTTCCTCTCGCTCGAATCCTCGAGCCACGTGCCTTCCTTCTGAATCAGAAACCCAAAACGCCACGTTTTGGTCTCTCGGTTTTATCTAAACCGAAAGCCTCCGTTTTGAACGGAGTCTCCTCTTTCTCCAACAATTCATGGGCCAAGCCCAACAGGTTGTGGCAAATAAATTCAATGTGTATTTTGTTATTTCTAAAAAAAAAATAATTCAGACATGGAGCGTTATTTATTGAGCCAACGTTTGGGTTGAAGGGTGGTAATTTAGATTTACGTTTGGGCTAGGCTTTTAGATAAAATAGGCCCAATTACTTGGCCCATTTATAAAAATCCTTCGAAATAAATAAATGTATGGGTTTTTAAAAAAAATTTAGACAGATGCATAAAATTTACCAGTTTCATCTCTCTTCATCTCTTTCTCTCTCGTCATTTCTTTCCGGTTCTTACCCCTTTCTTGCATTCAGCGGGGGGCGGAATCTTCTGTCGCCGGTAAGTGTTGTTTCGTTCTTAGAACTTCAAACCACCGATAAATTTTAGATATCAAGATCTTAGGGATTTCTTCTTGTTCTTACACGCATTCGATTTTGAATTTTGAATTTTGAATTTCAAATTTCAAATCTCCTTCGTTCCCCGACTTCTATTTTTTACTTCTGTTGCAGCGGCTGTTGTTCCATTGAGATCGTGCGAGTGTTCCGGGTGTCGAGGCACCAGAGCTGATAGAACTGCCAAAAGGTATCAAGTGAACACTGAAATCTAAATCTTCTTGGTTCGGAGTATCCCGTCCGATTATTTTGCGTGTATAGTCCTAAGATGCTACTCATTCGTCGAATGAAATGATGTCTTATGTAACCAGTTGTCTTACACCTGATAGGAAAAGATAGTGGGATCGCTCACATCGAAATCGAGGTCTCCAGATCTACCATGTTGATGCAACGAACGCTAGGATGTAAAATCTTTGCTTCTCATTCACTTTTGTTTCTCTTTATAAAATTATTACTCGTTGAATTGATAGTGCGACCAATCTTATGATGTAAACAGTATACTCTGTTTTTCTGAAGAAACAGGCTCTAAACTGACGATTCTTGTTGGTCATATCTTCAAGTTTGTTTTGCGATAAATCTCAGGTAAATAGCCATTTGATGCGCTCATGCGTTTCTTTCTTTTATTAAATATTTAATATATGTCTGATATATGGAAGTTGTCAATTACCGGTCCTCCCATTGCAATCACATAATTGTTCCAAGAAAATTTGCTCATCTTCTCTTGTCGTAAGAAATGAATAATTAAATAATTGTAATTGTATATTCGGATAGCGGGCCAATGGTATAGATTTCAATTCTCGAATTTCGGATGTCAAACTGAATAGGGGTTTCATGGGAGTCCTTTTAATGTATTCGATTTTGGGTTTTGTTTCAGCAATGTTCTTGGTGTCTACATCAGATTCTAACTCAGACCCCCAAACGGCAAACATGTCAAGAATGGCGTTTTATTCATGGACACGCCGAAGGAGGTAAGTAGAACCTCATAATTATCATTTGCATCATCATCATCATCGTCATCGTTAACATCTGCATTATTAACATTGCATTTGCATTATCATCATATCTTCATTGACATCTGCATCATCAACGTGGCTTTTGCATTATCATCATCATTAGCATTTGCATCATTAACATTGACATTTGCTGCATCATCATCATTAGCATTTGCATAATCACATCACACTATATCAGAATTATCACCATATAAATAACAACACATCATCTCATATATCGAAATCATCACCATATGTAACAACACATCAAATCATATCAAAATCATCACAAAACGCATGAGAACACATAATCTCATATATCAAAATCATCTCCATATACGCAACTACACATCAAATCATCACAAAATGCGTGACGACATATCACCTCACAAATCAAAATCATCACCATATGCGTAACAACACATCAAATCATATCAAAATCATAACAAAACCCGTTACAACACATCTTCTCATTTATCAAAATCACCACCATATGCGTAACAACACATCACATCATATCAAAATCATCATCATATTTGTAACAACACATCATCTCATATATCAAAATGTTCACCATAACGTAACAGCACATCAAATCATATCAAAATCATCACAAAATGTGCAACAACACATCGTCTCATTAATCATCACCATGTGTGACAAAGCATAACATAATTGACAACGCATCACATCATATCAAAATCATCGTCGTATGCATAACATCATCGCATCATCATTTGCATATCCATCATAGCATAGTTGCATATGCATCATAATATCATAGCATCATATTTGCATATGCATCATCATCATAACATCAAAGGACAAGATTTAACATCATTTTCATGTGCAACATAATAATTTATCCACCATTCTTCCTCTCGCTGCAACGTCTCAAACGACGAGAGACCATGTCAAAAGAGCCTTTGGGAGCGTTGACACCATGGCATGCCTATATCCTTTGAAGTTTTCTTGATATTTTGCATACTAACATCTAGTTGATTATGTGGTCTATATCTTGATTCTTGTGTGACGGAGATAAAACTTAGGAAATGGGTGGATACTTTGTTTTTGTTGTTGGAGTGGCTTCGGTTCGGCTTTCTTCATCAGATCATAATTGTCTACTCAGGTCTGTCATGGTTGTTCCTTTTTCTCCCCTTTCCATCAGTTTGCTAGTTTTTATTTTTAGTACTTTTGTGAAAGCAGTTTATTATTGTGCAATCACATTGTTTTTGAAGTGTAATAATATTATGACAATGTTATTTGTGTGACTTTTCCTTCAATGTTTTCTACAGCCGAGTAGACAGCCCATTACATGAAGTAGAGATTCTACGTAAGAACAAGGTGGAGCTCCCTGATTAAGGATATTAGGTTATCAGGTTAGTTCTATTACGAGCCACTTTTACATGATCAACTTTGTACAGGAGATATAAGATGGTTTGAGTGTCAAAACAAAATCAGGGTCATTGTCTAGAGACCGATGGAGAGCTGATAAAACTGCTGACCTCCCAGATAATGGCAATAAGTGAACACTTAAATCTAAATCTTCTTGTTAAAATTACCCCGTTTGTTTTAGTTTGCGAGTAATAATGGTCCTAAGATGCTGCTCATACGTGAAATGAATTGATATATTATATAACCAATTGTCTTTCACGGTTTCTCCTGATAGGAAAAGATATTGGAAGGGCTCACATCAAAATTGAGATCCGTAGATCTTCCACGTCAATGCACCAATTCTTAAATGTAAAATCTCCGCTTCTCATTCATTTTTGTTTCTCTTCATAAAATTATTACTTGTTAAATTGATATTGTCACACCAATCTTATGATCCCAACAGTATACTCTCTCTCCCAAAGTGCAGACATTGTTTTTCTGAAGAAACAAGCTCTAACCTGATGATTCTGGTATGTCATATCTTCAAGTTTGTTTGGCGAGAAATCTCAGGTAGACAGTCATTTGATGTGCTCATATATTTCTTTCTTTTATTAATTATTGAATATATGTCTGATGTATGGAAGATGTCATTTACCAGTCCTCTATTTCATCTGTGATTTTAGCACGCAAGGTGAACAATCAGTGATCCAAAGATGAATTCGGCTGAAGAGAGGTTACTTATCATCTTTCAGGTGCTGATTAATCTGATTCATAGCGGCATTTGTTGTTTCTTTATATGTTCTTTAACTTCAATTTTTTATTCTCTCATTCTCTCAGGTGATGAAAATTCAATTGAAGATTGTTATACAGTTTTTCAACTCATCTGAGCTTACAACCCAAATAGAAAGGTACATACAATGTTACTCTACTTTGGCGGGTTATACATATTTTCATGCGGTCGACTCCAAATAAACTCGGGATTAAGGTGATGTTGTTGTAAACATTTTATTTGTGCTTTTCTTCTTCAGTGAGCGTCTCCATGGAAGACAAAATATAAAATTTTTGCACTGGTTTGGTGTTTTTATGCATTGGTAAGGCAACAAATGCATAATATTAACTTCTTGTATGTTGTGTTTCCTCTTAGAAATTTATCACTTGTCAAGCTAAATGTTGCTGGTTTAATCTTATGATTGTAAGAATTTACTCGAATATCATGGAATAAGGCTGTTTTTTTTTCTGTTCTTTCTCTTTGGCTCTTACGATTGCGGAAAGGATTGCAGAAGACATGTGTCCTCAAGTATGATTAGAGGAGAAATCTCAAGCGAACGTCAGCATACTGGTTAGAAATGTGATCTATTCATATATTTTATTATTCGTTTTAGCATATATGTATCTCCCTACAAATACAAATTTTCTGTTCGGAGGTATGCTTCTCATAGAATGTTAAACAGGCGATGAGGTACGTGGTCAGTCAAGGGCCAGTAGCTTAAACAAATGGTTTGTTGAAGCTCATGGTTTTGATGAACTTAATGGAATATCTGGCAATTTACTCACACAAAAGGGGTACTTATCCATTCTTCTTTTAGGTATGGCTAGCTGGATTTGTAATGTCATTTCATTTGTGATTTGTTTTATCACTTGATGTCTACTAACTTGTCTGATTCTCTCAGGTTTGACAAAATGGAATAGAAGATTGTACAGTTGCTAAAAAAGGCTTAGTTATCAACCCAAAGGAAGGTATACAATGTTATACACAAGTGGATACATGTCTAATTTGAGTGTATTGTTTGCACTAGATTGTGTTGCATTGTCCTCATTAGCCGTTTTTCTCTTTTCTCTTTTCTTATTTATGATCTCAACCGTATACTCTCTCCCCTCTGGTGCAGACATTGTTTTCTTGAAGAAACAATCTCTAAACTGATGATTCTGGTTGGTCATATCTTCAAGTTTGTTTGGCGAGAAGTCTCAGGTAGACAACCATTTGATGCGCTCATACGTTTCTTCCTTTTATTAATTATTGAATATATGTCTGATGTATGGAAGATGTCTTTTACCGGTCCTCTATTTCATCTGTGATTTTAGCATGCAAGGTGAACAAACAGTGATCCAAAGATTAATTCGGCTGAAGAGAGGTTACTTATCATCTTTCAGGTGCTGCTTAAACTGATTCATAGTGGCATTTGTTGTTTCTTTATATGTTCTTTATCTTAATTTTCTGATTTTTTCATTCTCTCTGAATTGAAGATTGTTATACAGTTTTCCAACTCATCTGGGCTTACAACCCAAATAGAAAGGTACATACAATGTTACTCTAATTTTGCGGATTATACATATTTTTGTGCGGCTGACCCCAGATATACTTGGTATTAAGGTTATGTTGTTGTTGTTGTAAACACTTTATATGTGTCATTTCTTCTTCAGTGAGCCTTTTTATGGAATACATGAGGCAAAACTTTTGCACTGCTTTGGGGTTTTTATGCATTGGTAAGGTAACAAATGCATAATATTTACATATTGTTTGTTGTGTTTCCTCTTAGAAAATTATCACTTGTCAAGCTAAATATTGTTGGTTTAATCTTATGATTGTAACAGCTTACTCGTATATCATGGAATAAGGCTGTTTTTTTCCTGTTCTTTCTCTTATGCTCTTAGGATTGCAGAAGACATGTGTCCTCAAGTATGATTTGAGGAGAAATCTCAGGCGAACATTGGCATACTGGTAAGAAATGTGATCTATTCATATATTTCTTTTCATTCGTTTTAGCATATTTGCATCTCCCTGCAAATACAAATGTTAAACAGGCGATGAGGTACGTGGTCCATCAAGGAACAAGAGCTTAAGCAAATGGTTTTATCGAAGTTCATGGTTTTGATGAACTTAATGGAATATCTGGCAATTTACTCACACAAAAAGGGGTACTTATCCATCCTTCTTTTGTGTATGGCTTGCTGGATTTGTAATGTCATTTCATTTGTGATTTGTTTTATGTCTACTGACTTGTTTGATTCTCTCAGGTTTGACAAAATGGAATAGCAGATTGTACAATTGCTCAAAAAGGTTTATTTGTCAACCCAAAAAAAGGTATAAACAATGTTACACACAAGTGAATACATGACTAAATTGAGCGTATTGTTTGCACCAGATTGTGTTGCATTGTTCCCAAATCATTCTCGGCTTTGAACAGGTAATTGTTTGTTGTGTTTCCTCTTAGAAATTTATCACTTGTCAAGCTAAATGTTGCTGGTTTAATCTTATGATTGTAAGAGTTTACTCGAATATCATGGAATAAGGCTGTTTTTTTTTTCTGTTCTTTCTCTTTGGCTCTTAGGATTACAGAAAGGATTGCAGAAGACATGTGTCCTCAAGTATGATTAGAGGAGAAATCTCAGGCGAACGTCAGCGTACTGGTTAGAAATGTGATCTATTCATATATTTTATTATTCGTTTTAGCATATATGTATCTCCCTACAAATACAAATTTTCTGTTCGGAGGTATGCTTCTCATAGAATGTTAAACAGGCGATGAGGTACGTGGTCAGTCAAGGGCCAATAGCTTAAACAAATGGTTTGTTGAAGCTCATGGTTTTGATGAACTTAATGGAATATCTAGCAATTTACTCACACAAAAAGGGGTACTTATCCATTCTTCTTTTAGGTATGGCTAGCTGGATTTGTAATGTCATTTCATTTGTGATTTGTTTTATCACTTTATGTCTACTAACTTGTCTGATTCTCTCAGGTTTGACAAAATGGAATAGAAGATTGTACAGTTGCTAAAAAAGGCTTAGTTATCAACCCAAAGGAAGGTATACAATGTTATACACAAGTGGATACATGTCTAATTTGAGTGTATTGTTTGCACTAGATTGTGTTGCATTGTCCTCATTAGCTGTTTTTCTCTTTTCTTATTTATTTCTTCCTAAACGTGCCTCCATGGAAGGAACAAGTCAAGTTCCAAACCGATGACTCTAGTTTTTATACTTTGTTTGACACATTTCTATAGTTGTTAATAGTTTATACATTTTTATCTTTTTTAGACAGCCCATCACATGAAGTAGAGGTTCAACGTAAGAACAAGGTGGAGCTGTCTGACTAAGGAAATTAGGTTATCAGGTTAATTCCGTTGCCAGCCACTTTTACATTGATCAGTTTTTCACCAGTTTTGTAGTCTAACGATCAACTCTGTACGGGATATATAAGATGATTTGAGTGTTCCATCAAAATCAGGGTCATAGTCAACATTCATGGGAGAGCTGATAGAACTGCTGACCTCAAAGACAATGGCAATAAGGTATCAAGTGAACATTTAAATCTAAACCTTCTTTGTTAAGAGTATCCCGTTTGTTTTAGTTTGCGAGTAGTAATGGTCCTAAGCTGTTGCTCAAACGTGAAATGAATTGATGTCTTACACCTGGTAGGAAAAGATCTTGGAAGGGTTCACATCAAAATTGAGATCCCTAGATCTTCCATGTTAATGTACCAATTCTTGAATGTAAAATCTCCACTTTTCATTCATTTTTGTTTCTCTTCATAAAATTATTACTTGTTAAATTGATTGTCAAACCAATCTTATGATCTCAACAGTATACTCTCTCCCCTCTAGTGCAGACATTGTTTTCTTGAAGAAACAATCTCTAAACCGATGATTCTGGTTGGTCATATCTTCAAGTTTGTTTGGCGAGAAGTCTCAGGTAGACAGCCATTTGATGCGCTCATACGTTTCTTCCTTTTATTAATTATTGAATATATGTCTGATGTATGGAAGATGCCTTTTATCAGTCCTCTATTTCATCTGTGATTTTAGCATGCAAGGTGAACAAACAGTGATCCAAAGATTAATTCGGCTGAAGAGAGGTTACTTATCATCTTTCAGATGCTGCTTAAACTGATTCATAGTGGCATTTGTTGTTTCTTTATATGTTCTTTAACTTAATTTTCTGATTTTTTTCATTCTCTCAGGTGATGAAAACTGAATTGAAGATTGTTATACAGTTGTCCAACTCATCTGGGCTTACAACCCAAATAGAAAGGTACATACCATGTTACTCTAATTTGGCGGATTATACATATTTTCATGCGACTGACCCTAAATATATTTGGTATTACTTGGTATTAAGGTTATGTTGTTGTTGTTGTAAATACTATATATGTGTCATTTCTTCTTCAGTGAGCTTTTCCATAGAATACAAGAGGCAAAACTTTTGCACTGCTTTGGGGTTTTTATTCATTGGTAAGGTAACAAATGCATAATATTTACCTCTTGTTTGTTGTGTTTCCTCTTAGAAAATTATCACTTGTCAAGCTAAATATTGTTGGTTTAATCTTATGATTGTAACAACTTACTCGTATATCATGGAATAAGGCTGTTTTTTTTTCTGTTCTTTTCTTTTTGCTCTTAGGATTGCAGAAGACATGTGTCCTCAAGTATGATTTGAGGAGAAATCTCAGGCGAACATTGGCGTACTGGTAAGAAATGTGATCTATTCATATATTTCTTTTCATTTGTTTTAGCATAATTGCATCTCCCTGCAAATACAAATTTTCTGTTTTAGAGGTATGCTTCTCATAGAATGTTAAACAGACGATGAGGTACGTGGTCCATCAAGGAACAAGAGCTTAAACAAATGGTTTTATCGAAGTTCATGGTTTTGATGAACTTAATGGAATATCTGGCAATTTACTCACACAAAAAGGGGTATTTATCCATCCTTCTTTTGTGTATGGCTTCTTTTGTGTATGGCTTGTTGGATTTGTAATGTCATTTCATTTGTGATTTGTTTTATGTCTACTGACTTGTCTGATTCTCTCAGGTTTGACAAAATGGAATAGAAGATTGTACAATTGCTCAAAAAGGTTTATTTGTCAACCCAAAGAAAGGTATAAACAATGTTACACACAAGTGCATACATGACTAAATTGAGCGTATTGTTTGCACCAGATTGTGTTGCATTGTTCCCACTAGCTGTTTTTCTTTTCTTATTTATTTTTTTTCACTTCTCTCGGGATGAGTACATAAATAGTTTAGAGGTCAATGGTTTTACGTTTTCTTTCTTCCTAAATGTGCCTCCACGGAAGGAACAAGCTCCAAACCCATGACTCTGGTTTTTATACTTTGTTCGACACATTTCTATAGTTGTTAATAGTTTATACATTTTTATCTTTTTTAGACCCCTCATCACGTGAAGTAGAGATTCAACGTAAGAACAAGATGGAGCTGCCTGAGAAAGGAAGTTAGGTTATCAGGTTAGTTCCGATACAAGCCACTTTTACTTGATCGGTTTTTCATCAATTTTGTAGTCTAACGAACGATCAACTCCATACAGGGGTCATAGTCGAGAGACCATTGGAGAGCTGATAGAACTCCTGACCTTAAAGACAATGGCAATAAGGTATCAACAAGTGAACACTTAAATCTGAATCTTCTTTGTTAAGAGTATCCCGTTTGTTTTAGTTTGCGAGTAATAATGCCCCTAAGATGTTGCGCATAAGTGAATTGAATTGATGTCTTATATAACCAATTGTCTCTCACGGTTTCATCTAATAGGAAAAGATATTGGAAGGGCTCACATCAAAATTGAGATCTCTGGATCTACCATGTCAATGCATTGAAAGCCAGTATGTATAATATTTGCTTCTCATTCATTTTTTTTCCTCATAAAATTATTACTTGTTAAATTGATGTTGTTATGGTTTTAAGTTGGAGCACATTGGCGTACTAGATAAGTCTTGTGATATGTCGATACATTGCTCGGACTCCTTAGGCTACAACCCAAGAAAGGTATAAACCGTGAGCGTATTGTTTGCACTAGAATTTTAGGTATTTTTCATATCTTGAATGGAATGCATAAACAGTCTAGAGGTTAATGATTTTGCATATTTTCTTCTTCAGTGAGCCTCCGAGGTAGAACCAAGCGCCAAACTGATAATTCTGGTCGGCCATGCCTTGTGTTTTGATTAGCGGAGCTAATCTCAGGTAAATAGCCATTTGATGCGCTTATACATTTCTTGTTTTTTTTCTCTATTTCATTATCGTTATATCCTCTGTTTCAGGTATGATGAAAACTGTACAGAAGATCGTTTTACAAATCTGCAAACTCGTTTGGGCTTACGACCCCAAGAGAAAGGTACATACGAGTGTTTTGTTTGAGCATTGTATGCTACTCTGCTTTAGGGGTTAGTACATATTTTAAAGGGTTATTGGTTTTGTTTGACTTTCTTCTTTAGTGAAACCTCTCCATGGAAGGGTTAAGCTTCGATAACTGATGACTTAATCTGGTTTGTAATTTTCTTCTCTCTCTTCAATGATTTTTTATTTCAAGAAACAAATAAATAAACATTTGTAATTGTATAGTGGACCAATGGTATAGGTTTCAGTTCAAACTCGGTAGGGATTTCGTGGGAGTCCCTCCTCCCTTTTAACGTATTGGATTTTGGGTTTTGTTTCAGGCGATGTTCTCGGTGTCTACGTCAGATTCTAACTCAGACCAGCAAATGACGAACGGATGAAGAATGGTGTTTATGTCATGGGCACGCCGAATGAGGTAAGTAGACCTCCTCCTCATCATCATCATTCACATTTGCATCATCATCAGCATTTGCATCATCCCATGTGCATCTGCATCTGCATCTGCATGATCAACATTGCATTTGCATCATCATTAGCATTAGCATTTGCATTTGCATCGTCATCATTAGCATTTGCATTTGCATCATCATCATCATTAGCATTTGCATCATCATTAGCATTTGCATTTGCATCGCATCACACCATCATTAAACATCTACACCGTCCATCATCAGCATCTTGACACCATCGTATCACTTCACATTTCCATCGTCGACATCTCCATCATGAGCAATAGCATTACCACTACCACCACCACCACCACCACGGTAAGGTAACAAATGCATAATATTTACCTCTTGTTTGTTGTGTTTCCTCTTAGAACATGATCATTTGTCAAGTTTAATATTGTTATTTTAATCTAATGA